ATCTACTGCTCAGCTGAATCAAATACGAGTTTAAAGGCTACCAGAAGTCCAGCTGTAACTGCAGCGGAGCACAAAACGTCGCGTTTGAAAGTTCTGTAGTTCCGTCTCGCGGCGGCGTCCCCCCGACACCACGGCCGTATCAACTCCATGGAGGAAATATTCAGTAACACGACATCACACGTCATGAACGCAGCGTCCCTGTACTGCTGGTGAAACTTCCCCTTCGACTGGAGCACGCTTTCCACGAACTGAGTCTTCCCTGTCGTCAAGAACGTCGTGAAACAAGGCAATACTGGCAACAGTCAGGAGTGCGCGAGGAGAGAGGGGCACAGCCCTGTCTAACTGAGACACCACGGCCACAGTGGACGCCATCTCTGTCAGGGTGAAGACCAGCTGACGCCACCACTGGGAGTAGGACTCGTCGTTGTAGTACTCGATAAAAACCCACCAGGAGTAGTAGTGCGAGTGGATCACGGTCAGTAGGAGGATGAACATGGACGACCTGAGACGAAAGAAAAATGTCCAGACTATGCATTATGTGCAAAGTGACTGATAAATTGGTAGACGTATTAAATACTACATCCACCAACTTTATAACATGTAATACCCGCACAGAAAAGAAATAGAAACAAGCATTGGTTCTAGTACCAGAGTTATCAACCAAGGATCGAAGGCTTCAAGAACTCTATTTTCCCAAGAGCTATCGTAGAGTGGAATTCTTGGTTACACTGACGGCCGGTTATATCAGCTATACTGACCTGATCTTCCTTCTCAGAGCGAGGCGTACGACGTAAGTGACGCACTCGTACGTCAGCAGCACGGCGACGACCGTCAGCGTCCACATCCTCAGCGTCTCCGGCGTGACGTTGAAGTACATGTGTCTGTAGCCTCCCACACCCGTGTGATACGTGCCGTTGGAGATACCGTCCCAACAGTCACAGGTACAGGTGTGTCTGTCCACCACTGGTTTCTTGGGCCAGACCAGTTCAAACAGTACCCCGAAGTGAGCGTAGGGCAGAAGGACGAGGAACAGGACGGATATAAGAAATCCTACGCAGGTAAACATCGCTGATAGCTTCCCTTCAGCTGGAGAATCCAGTGACCTCTGACTTTACCGAACTGGTTGGACAGGTTGCGCTCTTGAGTGACGACACAAGACGGGCGACCTTTGGCACTCGAAATAACATTCAGATATAATCTAATGGAGAGCTCTACCGCCAAATTATATGCCGTTTTTACCCATTCGGCGTTTCAAATGGTTTTTGAAGGATGAACATATACCGAGGTTTACAACTGACATGTACAGAGTGCTACCCTTTACTATAGGATCCTATAGTGTTAGTGTACTACGAGAAGGCAGCGTCATATTTTCACACAAGAACTACATTTACCTTTACACGCAGTTTATTGACACAAATCATGTCTGTGATCCACTACTATCTGTTCAATGTGGAAGAAACTGTTAATGAAACCTTAGCGTGATCAAGGAGGTTAAAATTACTTATTTTAACCTCCTTGGTGTGATTCAGTAGCAATCAGGTGTACAGCATTGTAACTTTTACTGGTTAAATTCCGTGATTGCCTGTTTGTTTCCAGAGAAAGTTGGACAAAACATAATAGAACCACTCATATTCAAACCATGTAGAATTGTTACCAATGTTCTGTCAGGCACCACTGCTATAACAAATCTCTATCCGAATAAGTAGCAAATGGAATGCTTTACAAAAGTCTCAATCATTGAAACATATTTTCCTTTTACTTTAAAATATCATAATCCTATCATTCTAATGATTGGAACAAAAACATTTTTCTTAGTTCATTGCAAGACTACGTGATGAACACCATTTAAGAATCTTGACTGTTCTACACAACATATCTCTCCTGTTGCAACAAAAAAAGCTTGGCTAGAAGTATGTTACTGCTGTCCCAATACCTTGCAATAAGCATATCCATAATTCAAGCATATATCATTATCATGGAAATCGTGAGGACTATATACATTTCATCACCAATTCAACATTCTCTTTGTTTTTACACCTGCCCTTACACAACTCGGAAATCCTAATGTTAGGTGCAGAGGGTTACTTGCAGAGGGTTATTTTCCTACAAAATTGTACAAATTATGTCTGTCCTGGCTGTGAAGAATATTCTTATGGATGTTCCAACATTAATACTTTGCCTTTCAGCTTAACAGCCCTCTACAACAGTTCAGTTTATTTTCAGGTTTGGTTTGTTTATGTTACTGGCCTTTAGTGCCAGGTTTGATGAGATGATTAATGACATGTTAATTGACATTATAAACATGAAGTCTACAGTATACAATCAAACCTGTACAAGTGACCACCTCTACAAACATAGCCTGGCCATTGATATACAGGCAAACCTGTAAAATTACCACATCTATGTAAGGGCAACCTGGCCAACTTTTTGGTGGTCTCTTTGCTAATTTTTCTCATTTACACGAATCCTGTCTATAGTCACCACCTGTCAGCATAGACCAGATTTCCCCTGTCCCAAGTGGTCAGACTGTAACATTCTATCAGTGGGTGATGCTGTAACAGCAGTCATGGCAACCTGACTGTTAGATTTATACACAATTTATCCGATTGCTTACAAAAAGATTGAAGAGGGTTCTAAAGAGATCACACATTCTCTTCAGAGCTGTGGGGTCTAAGTAACAAGTTAGTGTAACACTGGTCAATTCAGTACAGTAGGAAAGACTCTGGGAATGTGTAAAATCTTAGTAACAGCAGGGTCACATTTGTTGTAGGTCATTGTACAATTTTGATATGACATACTTGTATAAAATATGATGTCATGAAATTTTCAAACAGGCTGTGTCTGAACTTAAAGTCAACAATGATTTAAGACAGCCTTCTCCATAACAAGACAGTTAAATTATGCAGGAAGGGTCTCACTTTGCAATTGCATGATGGTCCTACGGCAGATGTGACCAAGCCCTTACAGTAAGCACTATGACTTGTTGCTCATTCAGTCACTCTACAAATTCACATGTAGTTGAAAGGCTGAATATGATGAATAAGTGGATGTAGCATGATACATCCATCAGTACATTCTGTTTAAAAACAAATTTCTGCAACAAGTTTGAAGACCCTCAGTTCTGAAGCTGCACCCTTTTCTTCACTTGTCCATGAAAGAAAAAGGCACAGAAACCTTCCGTAATTTATATACAAAATCCATTTCTAAACCAGGTTTAAATTAAAAAAAAAGAGCCAGATGTGAAAGGGTAAGCTAGATACAAGCTTTAACAACTACAGAAGGACAGACTATAATTCTGTTTTTCTTTTTTGCATAGGATCACAAAGTGGCTAAGGAGCATCACTAAAGGAGGTTATAACATACACATACAACTCAAAGATCAAATATAATTTGCTGAACCCCACCTAGAATCCAAGCCCTATAACTTAGTTCACATTTTGCTCAAGTCTTTTTAGTGCCCAACCTTCAAAGTTCACAAGGCTTGTGGGATAGAAAAGCAGTCAATCATTCCTACTAAGATTTACAATCAAAATTGTGTTATTCAAACTCAAACAACTAATTCTTAGGGTTTCTTGTCATTTCTTGTCAACACTTCTTAGTAGTGACAGATGATGTTATGTTGCTCAGAAAAAGCACAGGGATAAGATACAGGTTACATTGATGACTACCCCGGTAGTCACCATTGCAATTAGTGGACCCCTAACTCAGCATAACTGATGGAACATCTGATCAGGATGCCTATAATTTTATTATCTTACAACGCTTATACCACTGTCACATTCATCATAGGTCATCATACGATTTTGATGCTGCAGAATTTTCAAGTTGACGGTGAATTTTAAAGTTGACTGTGACTAAACCAACAGCCAAAAAGGACCTACCGCAGGCCTTTCTGTTACAAGACTGCTGGATTTTGTATGACATATGCACGACTGTCTAAGAATGCTTTCAGTTTGCAATTGTATGACAACTGTACAACGAATGTGACCAGCCAGTAAAGTCCTCCCCTCTCGCAATCAGTACAAACACACATTCACAACTGCTGTGGGTGCTCCTGTGCCTACACCTTACATTCTCATAGAACAGGGAAAAACTGCTTCTCATATATGCTTCTGTGCATAACACTTCAATCGCAAGATGCGACTTACAAGATGGTTTCCTTAACAATCACAGTGGGATGAAAGTCAGACACAAATATTCATTCATCATGCTCCAGGCAGTACTTAGTACTACTACTTACACGTTCACTAAAGGCAGTCAAGTCTACTTATAGACAGAAACTCTGGCCTTCAATAACATTCATTCTCCTTGTGACTCCAAAGTACAACATTTTCTGATTATATTAGGCAATAATAGTGATATTCAAATAACATACATGTATCTGTTAACGCCAAAAGTTTATTGGTATAATATTTGTTGCAAACATATGGTAATTGTTATTGTCAAATATGATCAGAAAATGTAATTTGTTGTCAAAAGTATTTCAAAACTGCTTGTTTGCCTGATGAATTGAATCGTACACATTTGCTTTGCAAAAAAAAAAAACTGCGGTAGACAAGCCTGGGTGCCATCCTTATTATTCTATGCTCCTCTCCTTTTTATGGTCACCAACAATCATGGTGAGAACAAGTGGAGTGACTATAAACTAACAAGATGGCATGATAGTTTGCTTGGACTAGCATGATAGTTTGCTTGTAACATTTTGCATCATTCATTCATTCATTTGTGCAGTTCAATATCTTTCTATGTTTCTCCTCTTGAAACCCATGAACCATGTTGATATTAATGGTGTCGGCTGGACCCTACAAAATGTGGAGAATTCATGTTTGCTGAGGGAGTCTAAAATCTTTATATTTATTGTGAAATATGGCAATTTGACATGGCCCCTGTGTCTCCTATACCAAACAGATATTTCTTGCAATCCACCATTGCACACCTCCATCTTGTGCTTTTTAAATTTACTAGTAAAATCTCTTCATGTTCCTTTCTTGTCGTTTTTGGAAAACTACAACTCCGACGACGATGCAGACTACGACTCCCAGCAGGCCACAGAACACGATGGCCGCCATTTTCCACCCAGACAGGGAAATGTTTTTAAAAGCTCCTCTTGGGTCATCAAGGTGATCTAAAGATTTTTTAAAACAAGAATAATATTAAAGATTAATTGTTATTCAAATGTGACCAAAAGGTAATAACAACAAAACAGTAATGTTACCTTCAAAAAGTGTTACTCTACTTGCACAAATACATTTGTGTGTTCATGGGTAATCAGATCAACTGTTCATCTAAACTGCACAGGAATAATTTTGCTTAAATCAGTACTGTAGTCTGTGTAGTACAATGTAAATGGAAAGTTGCTGAAACCGCAAAAAAGGAACACTTTTTGTGTCTGCTGCTTCTCTCATCAATGGAATGCTATACCACACATTATTGAATAAGCTTGGAATGGATTAATTTTACAATATCTCTGCATTCTGTTTATGTATGCTATCTGTATTACATGTACAGCACCTCAGGAATGGTAGCTGTGCAGTTGTAGTGGATTAAAAATAAAGTGCAAGTTATATTGAAGACTTACCCCTCGGGGGTGCGAAGAAGTCTGCGCCCGGCTCCTTCCAGTTGGGCAGGTCGTCCTGTTTGGGCGTGTCCAGCTCGTACATCTTCATGGAGATGATGTCATGGTTGTCTAAGAAACAGAACATCAACAGAGTGTGTTTGTAAAATCCGGTCAATATTTGTGACATTTGTGACCATGGTTTTCCCTGAATACTTCAGCAGGACTGACCCTCTGGGACAGGGGGTGGGGTGAAATCCTGGTGTCATTTCAATATTTTGTACCCGCAACTCCAGCTCAACTTAGCAAACAACTGTTTTGAAAGTGATTGCTTTTCATGTATCTTACATTGGAACGTCCTGAAATATGACTCAACACTGCCCCCTACCTGCCAGGTCACCAGTTGCAGCTGAAGACCCAAAGTAGTACCCCTGCGGCAGGCGGATTCCTGTCACATCAAAACACTCCTTCCATTCATTCTTGTCATCAACATCAACCATTACCTGGGGAAAGGACAAGAAACAAGAAATGAAAAACATGTAGAAAATTCAAGCCCCACTCAAGTCAAACAAGAAATTTTTAGAGACTGCCATTTTACTATTTCTGTAATGCTCCTGTTCAGACTTACTGTCAGCCTCTGTTGAGACGACATGTATCTGATGGCGGCGTGTGTGTCGTGGTCCTTGTTGCGGAACTGAGCGTGACATCCTGCCAGCTGGGTGTGCGTACCGTCTCGGTCGTGGTCGTATGTTAGGGAACCGTTGTTCACCATTGCTGACACATACGGGTGTTGATGCTGTTGTGGGAGACATGAAGCACATTACACTATAATCAAGGATGGAAATACTGGGTGCAAATTCACTTTTGTGCACCAAAATATGAGCTGTGCACCTAATCTTTCACTGTCAGTAGATATGGTGCATCTAGATATTTGTATTGGTTACATATGTAAATGTACAATTGTACTATCATACACATATACAATATGTAAAACAGAGAGTGTATGAAGTTATCAGTACTTTCTTTGTATTTGACACAAACTACACATGTACATTGTATTGTACACTTACATTGTGAGGTCCATTGTGGTTGCTGTAAGTATCAAAGAAGATGCCCAGACCAACAAAATTGTCTTTGTTCCCAAACACAGGTCCTGGAAAATAAGGAGATCACTTCACACTAAAAGATGAACATTCAATAATATACCATGTATCTTAAAAACATGTCATAGAGGAATCAACGTTACAATGTACTAATTAGCTATTCAGACAAAAGCGGCCAAATACACTCAAACCTGACGCTGAGCCACTTCTACATAAGGACCACTTTTTGGTGGTCAGTTAGATAATTTTTCCCATTTATAGAAACATTAATAATCCTGTATTAATAATCCTGTCTATAGTCACCACCTGGCCACATAGACTTAACTGTTCACCTGAGTGGTCTTCTTGAATAGTTAAGACTGTGTTAAGGCAGGGACTGTCTTACCTAGCTGCATCCTGTCTTTGACATACCAGACAGCGAAGCCGTCCCCAAACAGACTGCTCCCCAGACCGTGGACCTTGAAGTGGACATGCATCTCCCAGTCCCGTACAAAACATGGCTGCAGGAAAATAAAAGACAATTCACCTTTATGTATCGACCTTTAATAGCAGATATGTTCCTTTTTCATTGTGGCTACAACACTTGAGTGCACATAGGCTAGATATTTGTGTAAAATGTATTGTTGTATGAAATGTATTTTTGTATGAAATAAAACGGTATACTGCAAATTCTTGGTATTCAAGTGTCAGAATGTTTTTTTTTAACTTTGTTGCATTACTTGTTTAAGATTTGGAAGTTTGCTAGTGAATTTTACAGTTAAGCAAGAAAGGCAGTAAGGTTTGTAATAAGGTTTTTTACTCAGATTCTAATTTATGCCTGTTGTATACTGTTGTGTACCCAAATATTTTTCTGTGCACCTAAATTTTGGGGTGTAGATCTACCAGTGCATATGCTTCAAAAAATTATTTCAAGTCCTGTCATTACACTCTGTGACATGGCAGGTAGGTTTCAGGTAGGCTCACCACTTGGTTCCAGAGTGACCCGCGTCTGCTCTGGTGGTCTGGAGTTAACCGCACGTATTTGTCTGTAACCATCGTGCTGCCGCCAAAGTCCCACAGGGGGATGCTCATACTGCCGGTACCTGGAACAGCCACAATAATTGTTACAGTAGTGTACTGTATAGTAAACTTGATTGCACAACAATTGTACCGTACCGTATACAAAAAACTGTGTAGCATAAGATTAGTAGGAGAATGCTACATGAAAACTTTGGTGGAATTTCTATCATGCAGATATTTTTAGAAAGTGTCCTATATAAATATCTACAATGCCTGAGTTTATTTGGTCGTTATATGAAATAACCCTTAATCATACTATAGTACACTGTATGTGGCAAAGATGGATCATAACAAACATGTAACGCTACAGCTTCCTGCTCCTACAATGCTGAATGATATGTATTGTGGGTCTCGCTACTGTTTATACTACAACAACATTTTGAACATGCGGACCGGTCACCCCAACAGGATATTGAAAACAAACTAGTCCATACCAGCCTCAGAGTAGGTCCTTTGTGCACTGGTGTACCACAAAAAAATATTTTTCCAATGATTTTAACAGTGCCAAAAGCTTAGCAGTATTTCTACCACTGGTATCGATAACTATACATATCACTGTGATGTTACAACAGTTCACACATCACGTGGAACTAGTATCTTTGCATATTCAGGGTTCTGCACAAATTGGTCTGGGAAGAAACATCTTTTTTCCAGAAGGAATGGCCAAACAGTTACACTGTGATATCATATAAAAATTGCTTTACAACTCCAAATTGCTGCAGGTCAGCAAATACGCATTCTAACTAAAGCATAGCGAACTAGAACTACTTAAACGCATAATTAATAGGTTAAGAGGCCTGGTGTTATGTGTAGGTGTGCCCCTCTAGTCGATCACACAAAGAAAGAGTGAGAAAGGGAAAATTATGCAGAAAATTGTCCTATTTTACTTTTTTGTGTGCTTCATGAAATAAAGTTGGTAAATCTTTTTTTTTCATGTGAGCTAACACTTTGCTGTTTGATCATCTACTCGAAATATTTTTGTAACCTTGAAGAGACTTCTTTCAAGGTAACATTCAGTGGCCTAACCACATACCACTTTATAATAGTCAGGTGTGCCCAAATCAGGAAGTAGTCACGTTTTGTTCGGGAATGTTCCACCACTGTTTCTCCCGCACTAGAACGAAATCCGCACGTAAGTCGTACCTGTGTATGGCTTCATGAGGGAGTGTTCCCTCTTCATGTAGTCCCCGGGGTTCATGGTCTGCGCCTGGACAGCAAGGACGGCGAAAAACGCCGATAACACACACGAACACCTCGTGAGCAACGCCATCACCGCCATCTTGAAAACTGTTCAGTCTCGCGTTGTATCGCGAGATAACACGAGAGCCACCTGTACAATATTGAGTCGTAAAACATACAAGACACTTAGGACACCTAGCGACCTGGAAACCTCTCTGTAGCGACAATGGCAAAGTGGGCAGTTTAGCAGTAACCAGAGTTACTACTTGCAACTGGAGATACTTTTTCCTTTGAACCTATAAAAAATGTGAATTTTCTGCTTCGTTGAATTTGAAGTGACTTCTTCCAAAACAAGTCGTAATGGAGGGTTGGTTTGGACAAACAGAAGCTAGCGCGGTCCTTTTTTTTTCTTCATTAGAAAAAAAAGCACGGTGCTCTTTTGGACAAAGATAACCGAGGAGAAGAAAAGAGCGGTGCTTTTCTGGACGAAGAGAACTGCGGTGCTTTGTTGGAGGGAAGAGATGAATAGAAAAAGGGCGGTGCTTTTCTGGATGAAGAAATGTGCGGTGCTCTTTCGGATAGAGGGCTAGGCGAAGAGAATAAAGATGCGTTGATTTTTTTCGAAGAGGAGAACACTATTATAAGAGAATTCCGGTACCTTTCTGGACGAAGAGGTTAACGGGCCCGTTAACGTTACAACTACAAGATAGAAGCTCAGCTTGCACTTGGGTTTAACGTTAGTGTCACGGACGCGTCAGCGTTGTAACATTTGCATTTACTACTTTACTGTTTATCCTTTAATATCTTTGAGATACATGTATCACTTGGATTGAATTTATCACTTGGGGTCAAATGACCGTGCACATTGGACGGTTGGACTCTGGTCGTAGACAATGTATGTAGGTCATGAAGTGGGGTGAGTGGCGTCATCTTATCTGATACCAAAAGGAACTTTGACCTAACTGAGCAGGCGCATAGAGGTATGCAAAGGTCGATAGTCTGTGAGTCTGGCCGGAAGATGGCGACTCACAGCGCCGATGTCAGCTATGTGACCACTGCAGGGACTGGTCACGCGGAGTTGCGGTGGAGACCTGTCAGTGGGTCTAAGGCCCCGAACACGGCCTCCTTAGTGGAGCTGGGCGACAAAGTCCAGCAGATCGTGGGCAGGAGCTCGTGGTGGGACCGGTACGGGGTCGACTGGTGCATCCTGTCGGCTGGCCTGGGGCTGGCGTTCCTCGGCATGTACCTCGCCAGCTACCAACACCCGCTTCTCTTCGCTTCCGGGTTGTTGGCTTGCGGCACTGGCCACTGGATCCTGGCGAATAAGGGCGCCCACCTGGCAGTCCACGGCGCGCTAGCGGAGTCCCGAGCGGTCAACGCCTTCGCCGTTTGGTTCATGAGCGAACTGGCGGGGGCGTTCACTTACAAGGGAGGGTTTGACATCCACATCAAAGTCCACCATCCACACACCAACATCATTGGGCTAGGAGACTCCAGCTCTTTCCGGGCACCCTTCCTCCCCAAGTACGTCTACATGTTTTGTGCGCCTCTGCTGGTCCCGGCCCTGGCCCCGCTGGTCAGTGTGCAGATCCTGTGGGGTCAATGGGCAGCTATGTTGTCCTGCGTCATCACCATGGGTAAGTCGTCTTCTCGGTTTCTGAACAACAGTTCGGAGATCTAGTAACGTTACCAAGAAGGTTGTGTATTACTAAATAAATTTTCCTGTTTGATTTTGTCCAATAAAAAATTACTTTGGGGTACGGAAGTATTGTTTTGGGTGGCTGATCTATGGGTTTGTGTGTCTGTTTGTCTAGAAAGTAGGTTGAGAGCATGTGTGTGGATTGACAGGCAGAATGACAGGTGAAAAAAGATCAGACACAGGAAATGAAAATGGAAGTCTGAATCTCCGAAATCTTTTGTTGAATTATGTAAATTAACGATGTACATAGAAGTTTTTTTTTTTAATAAAAACTAGATCACACACCTAAAAGACTTTCTCTATTCCTTCTTTGACAGCTACAGGACTGTACATCAACCACTTCCTACTGGTTCACTTTTCTGGGTTCAGTGTGCTGGGTGCTGCTGCCTTCATGTTGGCTTCTCGCTCCATCTTCGGCCTACCTTACATCCACGTCAACATCTTCCAACACATCGGGCTGCCCATGTACTCACAGGTGGGGCCTCATCAGTAGAAAATATGAAGCCAAATCAAAACAATTTTGCAAGTACATAGGTGCACCATGTCAAAAAATTTTGGTGTGCTGCCATGAAATAAAGATTAAAGTAGAATATCAGCAAACCTAGCTATAAACCTTACAACCTTTCTTCAGAGCTTGAAGTTCTTCAAGAGCTTCAGAGTATGAACCTCTATAGACTTTAAGTTCTGACACTTAAATTTAAAAAATGTGCTGTATACTAGTGCACAATAGGTATAGTACCTTTACGTTCAAAACCTACCAAGTGCACAAATATCTAGATGGAGTCTAATTTTGGGTGTGCAGATGTGTTCTACAATATGTGTTCCCTATGCTCTTCTGCTAATGATGATATAAAAACTGCCATTTCAGGAGACCCGCCCGAAGAGAATTCAGCTAATGTCGACAGGTGTGTTGAACCTGAGTAGGAACGCCGTGTTAGACTGGGTGTTCGGCCACTCCCTCATCAGCTGTCATGTGGAACACCATCTCTTCCCTACACTCTCTGATAACATGTGCTTCAAGGTAACCTCACCATGTCCATGGTTTTCTTTAGCTTTCAGTTTGCCAAGGGAGGAAACAGGAGGCGACACTGTGTCCTGGATAAAACTGAGTACACTTTGTACATCTCAATTGTGCTGCACCTTGTAATAAAGCTGTCAAGTACCACCACTGCAACTTCATCTCCACCAGATTTGATCCTCAAAATATATGTCTTGCCCCAGTTTAATAGTCATATGAAGTGCTAGTAGTATCATTATGTACAATGTATTTGTATTTGTGTTATGATAGGGATGCTTTGAATATATTATCCTAAGTTGCCTGTTCCTCCTTTCCTGTTTACTATATGAATAAATCTCAAATGAATAAAACGCACTACAGATTGTTGTGTTGCAGGTTCCTAAACTGTTATTAAGTATGGATGTCACCTTTCTTATAACTCTGCATGTTTGCCCAGGTGCGGCCTGTGGTGCGTGACTATCTGACAGCCCACGGGCTCCCCTATAATGAGGACAGCTACACGAGCAGGCTGAGGGTGTTTGTGGAGAAGTATGAAGAGTGGATGGTGAAGCTTCCTCCCATCACACACTTTGTCGGCCTGCAGTAGAACACAGCCTGACTGTGACTGGTACATGATGGGCCTAGTGGCCCTTCCTCTGGTCAGGACCCTAGAGGCTTCACCAACACCTTAAGTCAGGAGAAACATCTTAATCCTGTCAATTTATGCATGTTTTCTAAAATATATGTAATAATATGTACCTGCACCAAAAATAATCTTAGAAATATCAATATGTAAAATATTAATATATAGAATGGCAGATGCCATGACTCATGAAATTCCAAGCAATTGCATGATTATGTACATAATATGTAATATATACATGTATATGATATATATATATGTTGTATGTCTATTTGATTAACGTTATGTGTAAATGTATTTGTTTGAATGTGTATGGTTTTGCTTATATCATATCTAAAACCATGAATAAATATGAATCTTATCCATTGAGATTTATAAATTTTAATAATATCTAAAGATATCAATAAATATTAATCTTGTCTAGACTTGAGACATTGAGAAACACAACTCTTAAGCTGAAATAAGTAACAAAATACTGAAATAGCATTGGCAACAATGCAAACAAGCAATAGATATCTTCCCTCCATGAACGAGGTTGGTGTTGTTAGGGTTCTTTTTTATGTTATCGCATGTGTTCATTGTTATAGGTATGTTCAGGAGAAGACTGGCCCCGACCACGCGGTCGGAGGTAGTTTATTTACATCACCAATTGGTAACAGAGGTTGGGGGGGGAGGAAGTACAGAGGCACAGATGTCTGTTTCCTACTCGCTATCAATCACAACACAAACAAACCACCCCATTAGCAAGGCCGGCAGACCCAAAAACAACCAGACCAAAAAAATATATAGCCTGTCAAACAGGAGGTAAAAATAGATACACTGTATCCCAATTGGGGTCAACAAAGACCACACTACTATAAAATAGGGGTGATAATGTAGAAATCCTTTTAAATTAAGCAATACAAATATACGACAACCTGCTAATGCACTCTAAAACACAAAGAGACTCAACAGCTACCCACATACCAAAAATTATACCAAACCATCCACCAGATTTTCCAAACATTCAACACAAAAAGACCAACGTTAAACATTTTGTAAATATCAAACGCAAACAGCTAGGAAACCCAAATTTAAACCACTAAACCATAATAATAACAACTACATGCTACCTTAATATCGCACAAACAGTCCATAACGTGCCAACAATAGAATAAAAAAATTAAACTGCAGTACCAAGGTCAATCACCAGGGGCTCAAAGTCAACCTACACAATCTCCAAGGCCCCATCCATCAATCTGCCAAATATCATACAGTTCCTTTTCACCGATCTTCAGATATCAGACCAAAACATGAAACGGACCAAAAACAATACCCCCATTACATGGAGGTATTGTGATAAGGTTGTATGAAATTATTCCATGCAGTTCTGATGGTGTCTTGTCCACGATAGAAATTGACTGTAAGCCACGAAAGAAATTACTAAAAATAGGCAACTGACTTCACCAGATGTTCATTATCTGCACATTGATGTCACAACACTGGATTGTGGTGAAACAGAACTTCTCAGTAGCAGTTAAGTGTAGGCAGACACAGATGGAAGTCATTTGTGTCTACTGTAGTTGAAAGTAATTAGGGAATATGACAGGGAAAATAAAGTGGAAAGTAAAAGTTGACTAATGACATGGACTTTGTTCTTGCAAAGATTAGTAATAAGTGATATTTCTTTCTCTTACATGTCTTTTCTTACATACATGTATACAGTTATTATATTTATCAAAGTGACTTTGATACAAAGACACACAATTATACTATTATAATATCTGTGCAATCTGAACATCTGACAAAACCATATACTAGTATTCACAATGTCTGTCCCACTATCTACATATTTCAAATTACGTCATCTATTACTACTCTGTTCTTCATCGAACTCACACACCAATTACATTGGTTCTGTTGTCTTAAGACAAACAAACTTCAAGTTGAAGATAAATAATAATCTTATAAACAACATTGAAATGTTAAACAATTGCACAAGTCCCCATACAGTTACTACTACGTTTTACGCAAAACTTTGGCACTTTTTAAAATACTGAATGACAATCAAAACGCACAGTTAACGTACCAATTACACTTGTGCGAATGTACAGGTGGGTAAAAGATTTTTCTTCGCTCTGAAGGTGTTTTGTTCTTTTCATTCTAAAATAGCCTTCCTTCATAACGGTACAAACGTTTTAGATTCATTATTTACTTTTAAGGAACAAGAAAATACTTCG